CCGTTTCCACACTTGCCACTTCTTCTCTGAATATTTGAGGTCTTTCTCCTGCACATCGGCAACTGTCTTTGTGATGAGATCGCGCCATGCAAGCCGATCAACCGTCTTCGATTCGCACTACCTGCAATCAAGATTGGAACTTGAGAGGCTCACTTTGATCATCTCCTGGTAATGAAGCTGCGGTTTTCCCACATACCACTTCCCAACAGTCAGCCGACCATGCAATAGTTGTTTCGGTGTCCTCGTGGAATACATACAGCTCACATGAGTGAGCACCTCTGGTGTCTCAGCAAAAGTGTGCAGTCAACTGATACATTACACTTAGGCGCGAATGCCTAGGCCAGTTCCAAAGGGCTACACAATTTACCTCACGAAAACGCATAAGTATTTTGGAACACTTCACTGTACGCTATGGGCGCTTGAGTAGTGCTCTTAATTGGTGTGTCAAATGTTAACCAACCCTAATCACTCGTGCTGTCAGCCACTAAAACCCAGACCTAACAACAGAATGAGTGACTACCGTCTCAAACTGACAGGACATTCACTTAGCTGGAATTAAGACGGAATTTCTTCTCCCTATTTATTTGCTGCAATAGAATTCACTTTCGTAAACTGTTATTTTAGCCTCTTCGTAAGCTGTGTTCAGAGATCGTGCGGACAATGTGTTAGTCCCGTTACACCAGAGCATACAACACGCATAACCCATATGGATATTTAGGAAATAAAGCAGCAAAACACGTGTTTTCCTCGGAAAATCAAAAGCGGGAAAATTGCAGGTTGCATAAAACCAAATGTGAAACATTCAGACGGATGCAAATATGCTCGCCAAGCCCACTTTTTCAGGCTCACTGTTCTTAACAGTTTTTCCTTTTGTTTGAAAGCTATAACTCACAATTCTGCGGGACATGTTTAGCTTAAGCTATTTATCTGCAATAGACCCTTGTTTATCTCCCACACCATCATAACACTGAAGTTATTAAATGACGCAGTGCACGGTACTTGCCCCTGTGATCAGGTGTAATGCTTGTAGCATGTGGTGGATGCTAGTTTTAAAGCGTCCGCTATGCTAGAATATTAACTTGTATGGTGCCTTTGGGTAGACCTAATTCTAACTAACTCAAAACACGTTGTCCACTGCTTCGCACGTGCAGTCAAAAAGTCCATCCATTTTGTATCACCGAAATATGGCTACTACGGATATCAGAATGGAGTGTCAACCAAGTTAATCTTCTGAGTTAATACTGTACAAATGGTGACATGATTGTAAGCCTTTGCGTCTAGATGCTGCGCTTTAGCACGGCTTCATTGCGAGACGCAACGTTTAATAATTTATCTCCATGAACTCGGACGAGTGGCGCTTGCTCTTATGTTTGTGTCTGTCGACACATGCTTTGTAAGTAAATAAGAAATCAAATCCTACTCGATTTGGGAACAAGGGAACAACCATCTTTTAATCATTATCTAGGATGGTTCCGTTGTTCTACGAACTATTTATATATCCGTAGATTACGTCAGAGCAAAGTGGCTATGTTATCCAATTCTTTTCTTTGTAATCACGAGGAGTACGATCTGTTTAGAGAAAAAATGTGTAAACAATAACCAGTAATTGGAGAAAAGTTCAATACCGTCCTTAAATATTGAACCTTATTGGGCTGTTGTACTTCACCTAATAGTGTCGATATCTGATTAGGTCATGGATGTTGTACAGTGCATAATTATCTCGGATGCAAATTTCGACGAATCAGTCGAACATTGTGAAAATCACTGTAATATATTAGATATGACATAATTACCGACAACGGAATTTGAACTACAAGATTAACGACACTAAGATGATGAGCAACATCCGTACTGCATGTTCTTTAAGTATTGTCGAATGTTGTTCATGTAAAAGGCATGCTTTTTCCCAATGGGAGTAGACAACATGGATTTGGCTGAACACAAGGTCATTTTCGATGGGGATTTTCAAACCACGAGCAATCAGAATCTACTGCAAATTCAACAAAACCCGAACATATTTACGTCTATTAAGGGAAATCTTTAGCTAACGCATTTCCTCTTGTGAGTCTATAGCAAGAAGGCGTAGCCGTGGGCTTATGGTTCCGTGGTTTAGTCCTGCGGGTCACGAGGAGGGTCGACATCAGCCATAATGCAGCAACTATTCTGGGATATGAAGCACATGTTTATCCTCCACCTTCATGCACATTTCCAAAGTGCAGAAGACGGCGTTAGTTTAGTGATCTGTTAAATCCGTTGCTTAGCCGCCATCATCCGCAACCATTATAATCCAGCATGGATAATTACCGATTTTCGGGTCGAATTATTGATGAAATCCCAGTGATTTTCTGAGTGTACAGCGGTTGTCGACTAAACATGACATTGGTGAATCTTCATGGAAAATCTAATCACAATCGCAAGGTTCACTACTCTAAAAACAAGTCCAATTGGGTAAAAGCTCAATGCATTCGGGACACTTGCTAACTACCATTTAATAGGATTCAAAAGTGGTAGAACGTCGTTAGCACCGCTGCAATTTTGCATTAACAAAATATTGTGAGCACGGCGATTACCTAGTTGCCCGATGCGTTCATGATCAGACGGTTTATGTTCGTGTTCACATTCTACATAACTGAGGGATAAATTTGCGAACAATGTTTGCGTTTTTGGACTACGATTTAATTCAATACGTTTGTATAACTTGCAGACAAATAAACGTGTACTGAAGGCAAAAGTAGGGCCGGCTTCTTCTTAGCACGAATGTTGATGTTTATTTGTCATGAAGGAGGACACATCATCACATGATTACATATCGGTGTGCGAAGTTATTTGTTCGCCTGAACAGTTGCAAAAAATGTCTACTTCGCTGATAGTGTGTACTAAACTATGGGAGACGAAAGACTCTTTTTCGTATCCGACTCACTCGTGTGTTCTTTTCACTGTTCCAAGTGTGTGTGTTGCAAAGGATCGTTGTCATTAAATCTTAAAAGTTACTGATAGCGGACATATGTTTTCTGTAAGCCATGTTCGGACCAGTGAGAACATGTGTGGATAGAAGTTCGGTGAATACACTGTGAGGGTCTGTGGGACATCATTCGTTTTTATAGTCTCTACTATAGTCACTGACAGTTAGGTCACAACAGCAATTTTGCTTAAAGCTGTTGGTAGTTGGTACAGTCCTAGTAGGCTAGGACGTTTCAAAATCTGAGTGAAACTTATCTGTACATGCAGTTCTAATCGTAAGATTTATTCATGGAAAGCACAATGGATTCGATTCAACGGAACTTTATCCGATAGCCAGATGCTTTTTTGGCTGACCTTGAACAACGGCCAATATAGTTACTCGCCTACCTCAAATTAGCGCTTGGGAATCGGGTTAGATTTTTTTGGGCAGTCATTTAAATAGCCAAATCTGCATGTTAATTTGTACGGTAACTGCAAGCAAAATGCGCTTTTAGATGCGGCCATTAAACACGATAACCGATTACTTCCCTTGAGGACACGAATTGCCCGGGCTCAGAAGTGCTTACTTGTCATAACCTGGGATACTTTGGAATTGACAACAGAGTAAAAGCGTGTTCTAATGTAAAGTTATTGACATACATATCCGAACTTGGTACCTGTTAATTTTATGTGATTTTATTGGGAACTTTAGAAATAAATGCGAAAAATGAGTGGCGCTAAGATTAGAGAAGTTCGTTTGGTCTGGTTCGATCCCCGTTTAGTTCATTAGCAGAGCATAACTAGTGTGTTATTCAACACAACTTACTGATATTGATCACCATCCTCGCGATATAAGTTAACATCGCTGAACTTAATAAACTCGGCTAGTTTATCGGAGAACTAATAATTCGGACCTTTAATAATCACCCTGCCCTCATGTATTGTGAAACTAATGGGACGCAACGTACATTTTAGCAAACAGGAGAATATTTGCAGTGCATTACCGATGGTTTGCGCATTTAACTGAAAACCCCAACACGGGAACCTAATAATTTGGCACAAACTGTTGAAAATTTTGCGTAGACATTTACGAAAGGATGATTTGTATGCGGCTGTCAAAGCAACATTGAAGTTGTTCCGGACAGTTCTGTTCACCCAAATTCCAGTGTCCTCGCATTGCTATTCATAGCTCATTTCCAGTTCAAAACTGAATGAACTGGTGAAGTTGGGAAAATTGTTTGTTGTTCCTTAGCAACTAGAGGCTGTTCCCATCTTTACGGATCACAAGGCAATTTATCATTTCTTGCGGGCTCTCCCTGGATTGTTAAACGACGATCTGTTCCTTGATTTTTAAGGCTTGATTTAAATATAAAGACCAAAATTCTCAAGCAATTTTGCGGAAAAGGAATCTAGCCACATCAAAAATGCTGAATGCAGCAAATGAAATAGCTTCGGGGGATAGAATGCCATCTACAACTTACCTTGCTTTTTCGCAGCAATTGCTACAACTTCATGCTTTTTAATTCATTGGTAGCCAAGCAAGCTTATAATCTTGATTTTTAGCATTTCACCACAGTCAGCGTTGTCCAGAACCAAATGTGTTCCTACCCAGACGAACTGGTACGAGACAAAGTGCACACTCAACGTATATCACATAAATTCCCAACATCACTACAAATCAACCCATTGTAATGAAATATGTTGGAATTTAACTTTTCATGATCATTTCCAAAGAAACCTGAATAAAGTAACACATAAATAAATGTCCCAGTCTATAGTTATGGTCGCAATACAAAGAGTATTATTCTCAAAGTAGATTATGTTGTCTGAGAACCTAGTATGTAGCAGAATGTTCGTAACACCATCAACATGTGAGTTCCATGTCAGTTGGTGCAGAATGGCGTATACGGAACTTGCAAATAATAATGACATTGTTTTGAGTCAGTAAGGAAATAGCGTGCTGTATTTCAATTACCGAACGTTCATTCCTTATTTGCTAGCAGTTTTACCACTGACAGTTGTCTATGCCCCTTAACATTCTTCATAATCTTGATTTGCAGATATACTCTTCAATGTGTGCTTCCGGTAAACTATTTCATAGAAAAAGTTTACGTGTTTCTCTGGTTCTGGTTCATCATTGTGGCCGCGCTGACCATACTGAATACTCTGCAATGGATATTTAATGTTTGTGTACCGTTCAGACGCGTCAATTTTATCCGTCAATATCTGAAAGCGCTCAGACAATTGTCACATACAGAAGAGACTGAATGCGCACGCTTCGTCAACAATGATCTTGGTTGTGATGGCGTTTTCCTACTGCAAGCAGTGAGTCGCATTTCGAGTGACTTGATCGTTCTGGACGTCACTAGTGTGTTATGGTCCAATTACCAACGGGCAAAGATCACTGGCACTGAAGGTGATATCAGCCGCTTCATTGAGAGCATCAACCGCGTTGGTGGGGGTGCTGTCTGAAGCGGCTACGTGCGTCTCAGCCCGGCTCACGTTATTCCAAACTGCATTGATTCGTCTACGGATATTTGAACACATTCGTGGTGACCAATCTACTGCGCCTTGGCGGTGAATCATATTTGCCTCTTTGCTTTTTGCATACATATCAACAACGACACTTTTGTCATTTGCTGGAATGCAAATATGGTCGGCTTTGTCGCCACTTCGACCTGAAATTGCGAATCGGAATATCGTCAGATGAAAACATAAACTCACCCGGCGGCTTCAACCAAGTGATAATATACACAGTCTCTGACAGAGTGATGTAAAGAGGCTGTGCACTTCAGATAGGTAAACCAAACTTTCTTTTGTACACGGAATTTGACAAAACTTGTACTAATGCTCCACTCTTGTAAAATAAATCTTTTAGAATTTCAGTTGTCAACAGTGCTTGCTTCGTAAGTTCGTACAAGGTTACAAAGCTGAGTTGATTGCTGACTTCTAAATCATGTTTATTTGGATACGCACCACTGAAAAATACCCACTTTGATCATTCAAATGGCTCTGAATGCGTAGCCTGTGAACTCCAAATCTCGTTTAAGAAAAGCGAGCTGATCGGTATCAATATACTATCTCCCATAAATTGTTTGGCTTTACTGTAGCAAAACGTTTGCAAATGTCTGCGGACAAAAATTATTGCTAGTAACCGTTCATAGTAATATCGGACCTATTGTATCCAAAGAAAAATTCTAACCTGTTAGAATCCTCTGCATTAGCGAACATTTGAACCTCAGCCCTATAGTGCTACACAAGATGTAAAAGTGCATACGGCAACCAACCGAATTACTGACTTTGATACTTGCAGTTAGTGTGTCAGTGTACCGCCATTTGTAAGCGGAGGCTAAGGTCTCTATTATTTTCAATTCCTTGAATTTTATACTCTAATGATTGTATCGGTCACGCTTGAAGATTCTTTGCAAACACCATGTGATACGATACAAGGGTGTACACGTATGAGCCATACTCATGGAATGTGCTCGCGAGTTGAGATCAGCTGTTCTGCTTGCCATTGACTGCACTGGTACGGTGATTAACGTAGCGGTGACGTTAATGACATAGGCACGCTAAGTTGAGTTGAACCACGCAATTGGTGCAACAGCCTGCTCTGCTCCGAATGCTATAAAAAGGCACTCGTATCCTACTGGTATCCTACATGTCTACAACGTTTATCGCCTAGATCACCCATCTTCTAGTGTGAGCATGCTTCCCACCAGATTGTAGTCAAAATCGCATTAAGGAAATTAATAACAATAAATAATGTGGGACAGTGCTCTGGGTTCCCTAGACAAATGCGCTCCATCTCAAAATCAAGATATTTGGATGGAGAAAATCGGTCCACAAACCAGTTAGGTAATATTCATCCCAGACATTTACTACCAACCTATATGTGCGTATTTTGTTTTTTAGTATTAGATCGAAGCGTGGTAAAACTTAGTCTTTGGAAACCGGCAGAAGCCTGAAACTGAAATCAATAGCCGCTGAGGACGCTACGCAGGGAAACTAAGGATTTAACACAAGGGACAATTGCTGCTATTTTGGGAATCAGCAATTCGGATATATCTATTAAAATGTTGACTCAAAATGCGGCTAATAAAATTTGCATAAAGTCCAGCATTTTCTAGACCTTTGTACTTATCTCTAGCACTGATCTAACCAAGTGACTTTGTAGGAATACCACACACATCTGTGTTCTAACCCAAATCAAAGGAACCAGCGAGTTCTCATTATAAATTAGACAAGACCAAGTTCTTATTGAGTATAAGACTATCTGGAAACGCACTGGTTGGAGAAAAACTAGTTTGAATGACACGAGCACGGTATGACACCCAGCTCGATTTTTTACCACTTAACTGGTAACAGACGTGTCAATGATGTAGTGTCTAAACGGGAAATTAAGAGTGTCGTTCACCGTTTTGTGATTTAGTGTTAACGAATACACTGCATGAAAATCAACCATTAGAACAATCTCAGCTTTAATTGCCAGGAGCTGAGTGAACCTTATAGCCGTCTGGAATGCCGACGGATTTATTTTTCTCTTCGGGTTTACTAACCCTGGAATTCGCTTCCAATATTAGTTACTTCCTCTTTCATCATGGAGAGTATAAAAGACGATGATCTATTGCCGTTGGCCCCCAACACTTCGCTGCCTAAGATGTGCTACTTTGGTATCTACACCTTCAAGCCCATTTATATGACGAATGAATCTAAGGAGGCGGCGCATGAATGAGCATTCTCGTTTTTAACTTTCTCAAAGAGTATATCAACTATAACTATTGTAGTTTTACCCTTGCCATCCAACGGGACTTGTCAATCAACTGCTATTTTACTCTTGTTATTATCAATGTTCATCGTTCAGCGTTCGTCTATTGCGAAACAGCGAACGATAACTTCCAACTGCAAAGGTAATCTGCGACCGTTTGATCCACTGTTAATAAACTGTTATCTTGTCCATCTGCATAAATACTTTGCTTCTATTCCTGCTTGTGTTCACCATGTCCATGGAGTCTGAAATGCTTCCAACTAAATGGAAACATACCTAGACACAAAATTGCTCTAAACTGGTTATTAAAACTACCAATCGGTGGACGTTGAATATTTAGAGAACAACGAGCTTAATTGTCAAAGGTAAAACGGAAACTATCTAGTTCCACATAACCCGTTTAACGGGGCATAATGTGACCTGCTCGAAGTCGAGTAGGTCAAGTAATCTAAATGGTATGTCGGCGTTGTTTGACGAATTCTGTTGATACCGGTAAGGAAGCGATTAGCTTTTCATCCGCTCACAAACATAAATCATTAATGTGCTGCTTGGCAAGCTTTTATAAGATGTATCCCAATTTCTCATCACTAACCTCTGAATAGCCGTTACAAATCGCAGATATCTGATCGTAAACATCAAGTACGAGGAAGGCTTCAGTGGACCTTACCACCTTCTTTTATCAGTTGTGTGATTCATGGTAGAGACCATGGTCCGTTACTCTTTGTTATGCACAGCAACCATGTGACAGACACTAGCATAAGCAAAACAACACGTTCATTGCTATGAGCCAAACCGTCGAAACACTTAGTGTGACACATAGCGCATGCCGTTCGATGGGGATAAATGTAATGCATTGATGTAAACACCATAACAATATCCTATGTATCCGCACAAGCCGATTCAGTTTAACAGCAGTGTAGGGCATACTGAAATTCCTAATCAAAGCAAGCTTAAATCCAGGAAGGAGATTTCTTTTTCAGCATACGAATTGTGCCTAACAGTAGGTCTGTTCTCACGCCACTTGCTTTTCAATTTCTCTTGTTCCAGGTATAAACAAAAATTATTCCGGAACATTGTCCGATGTTAGTTACTAGTTGTAGAGAACACAGCCACATATTCCTGATAACCATGCAGTTTCGATTCACCACCATCATAGTTATAACCTAGTTAACTCCCAGACATTTGCTTAGTTATATTTTCTACAAAATAAGAATATTGACTGCGCAAACTGAAACTGAAACGGAAGTTTCGGTTCGACACAGGACATATTAATGTATTCTCGCCACACTTGCTAGATAGTTTCAGTCAGGAAGGAAGAGTTGTTATCTGAATGGAATGGATTCAATGCTCAAATTGACGATTAGAATGGACCTATGCGGTCAAGTTTACCTAATGTGGCGCTTGAACACCTTAAACAGGATACTCGCATAAATGCGATTATGTGGGTGGAACAGATATCCGGGAAATATTTAAAAGAATAATTTATAGTGAAACAAATTAAAACACAAATGAACATAGGTTTTATAATGGAAACAATGTATGAGGAAACTGCTGCACTTTAAGCAAAAAAGCAACAACCCAGTGTCCAACAATTAGACTGACTAGTCGTTAAGAATCCATTGTTCATTTTCGGTGAACTCCGACATGCAAAATCAAACCTAAATAAAGACGCAAACTAGGCACTTTATCAAACTAACCTGATAAATGTTTTCTTCTGTTGAGTTATGGAGGTGAAAGCCAACTTAGAATTATTTGTATCTATCTCTCACGGTGTTGCTTTACATATACTTGGCTGCAGCATGTGTGTACCTCCGTAAATCGCTCATCTGTGAACACGTGGTTTTGTCGCCTTACCCAGTTGCATTTTGCTACACAAAATTGTGTTCACGCTCATTTGACCCCGATTCATCTGCACTATCTGGTGCACTCCGTCTTTCGGATCTAGCTTGTGTGGATCGTCTTTTATCTCCACATTGCGCTCTTTGCAGCCTTCCCGCAAAAACACAATTTTCCGAATCACGAACCACACTGCATTATTGGTGGTTTCAAACGAAGCCAAGTACAAGTTTTATCTGACGAACCAGCAACTACAACTGTAAATCGTTCATCAAAGCAGCTATCGTACACGATGTGTCCGTATCACCCAGTGGCTCTGTTTGCCGCGTGAACCATCTAGCCGCTTAACCCTGCCCCGCCTGGCGCAGACGCACGGAAGGTGGCGACCTTGAACATGAAAAAATTTCAGCGCACAGGCGACCCACAGGAAACCATATGTGATCGGACCTCTGTGGAACTATCATCGATGGACGCAATGGATTGAGGCGACCAATCAAAAGCCCACGTTACCGCATCCAGATCGACAGTAGTTTGTGGTCTTTCTTCATGCCATAAAGATGTACAGAGCTGAATCCACTGTGGCAGTTGTCAAAGCAAGTTCCATCGCAAATGTTCCAAGCTCACAGCGAACCAGTTGAAGCTACACACGCATTCCGCTCTTCAACCTTGTATATTTACCCAACCGATGGAGAGCCGGAAATAATCCAGCTCTGATCGATTTAATGCTAACGAACGAAGAGCTTATGGTTGAGAACACAAGGCAGAAGAGCTTTCTAGGGTGAAGCGACCAAGTAACCATAAGTTACGACTTCGTGTTATGCGGAGTATCCACAAGGACATACCAAATTGTTTCGAACAACCACCCACTACGACAAACTGGCAGAACTTGTGGGAGATGCCCACCGGGGGTTTCCGCACGACTGTTCCATTGACAGTGCTTTGTTGGATTTTAGTGGATAGTTCAGTGATCTGATTAAACCTGCATCGGTCAACAAGCTCTTTCGTTCTGCAAGGGCACAATCTGTGTGGAACCCGAAAAGGCATGACAGCAAGAGACGTCGCGTGGAACGTATACAGAGCGAACCATAGCCCTGACAATTGGAGTAATTATGTTGTAAATCCTAAACCCCGTACCACACTTGTACGCGAGGAAAAAATACTACACCTGCAGCGTTCATCGGAACAGCTTTGTGTTAACAAAAAGCTTCTGTACAGACATGTGAACAGACTCTGGTATGTGAAACGTGGTGCT